TGATTGACACACGTGCAATAGCCGATGCGCATAGGAAATTTAAATATGTGCAGCATCATAACTGTGAAAATACAGTCTTTGGGGAATCCTTTATTCTTCAGGCATACACAATGTAAAGCAGGTGCAGTGTTAAGTGAAATAAATCTAAAAGAGACAGCCTGTACAAGATTGTCTTGACGATACTAGGTCAGAAAAAAGAACTATGACTTTTGCTTAATAGAAACACACTTTATTGATGAGTGTTCTTTGACTCAGTGTGAGCATTACAGCGTCTTTTACTATCTCCTGTTTTAATAGCAGCATCATGCACAGTTCTCTTGTTAATATTGCAAAGTTGGCATATGTTTGTGGGTAAGTAATCTGCCTGTTTACAGTGCCATTAGGAAACCGCTGACTCCACCAGTTCAAAGGCTCATTTAAACCTCTCTCTGCTTCCAACTTGCTGAGTATTTGGTATTCAACACCGTGCAAGTGATTTCCTGCAGCCTCTGTAACACAGGTTGTTGGGTTGCTAAGGAATAGCTCTCAGGAGGTTAAGAGCCCTGCAGTCACCTTGATCTCAGTGCCAGTGATTATCTGTGCTAATTTTCTGCTTCATGTTTTATACTGCAGCACTGACCAAAACTTATGTCGGTCCATTGATATGCAGAAATGTGAACAATTGTGGCTGTAGATGCAGAGATGTAGTGACTACTTTCACAGTATAATCTCTTCAACATATTATTACAAATGAAACATCATCATTCAACTTAAAGTAAAAAAAAAAAAAAAAAAAAGAATGGAAAAAAAAAAAAAAAAAAAGCTGAGTGAGATCAGTTGGAAAAACAAGAGATTTTTTTCTCCTAGGTCATCTATTTTGGGTTTTTGTCATTGTCGTTGGTTGACAGTCTTTTCAGTACACATGCAGGACAACTGCTTCACAGTAAAAGAACTAGGAACTGCCTTTATAAAACTCCAGACCTCTAAGCTAGGCTATTAACTCAGCAATCACAGTGAGGGACAGTTAACCTCAGGAGCTACACCATGTTGCCTCTGTGTTGCCTGTGCTGCCACAGCTGATTCTAGAATTTCAGAGAGGGAAAAAGAGACCCAGATCATGGTTGTAAAGGAGGGTCCACATAAACATTTCCCAAAGCTTTAAACCCACTCTCCTTTACTTGATTTATTCCATGAGGGTCAACACCTACAGATAAGGTCCTGCAGTACTATTCCTCTTTGTCATTTTAATAGATAGCATAGAAGGGTAAATGTATTTCCTCCATGACCAACACTTGAATTCCATCAGCCTTCTTCAAGGAGACTAAGTAATGGGAAAGGGAATAAGGAATTGAGCCCCTTGCTCTGTTGAGAGCTCATGGCAGCCCACCTGTGTCTAGTACCTCTGGGTGCTATTCCTACCTCAAGGGCCAAGTAGCCGCTGCCACATCTTTTACAGTGATCCCAGGCAAAGAGTCCCTTTATGTGCAGAACCGGCTCTTTCCCACTCCATATGAATGCTACTTGCACACAGAAATTCCTTTTACCAGTGCGGAGATCCAAAATGGTCTGTGGGAAAATCAGGATTACCTCTCCACCTCCTGCTGGAGTCCCCAGCACCTGTGGGACATGGGATTTAATTAACACGGATACAACTGAATTGTGATTATTTCATTTACAATAAACTCAGACTAGAAATGTAAGCAAATCAACGGTTAGCCTGTCAGTTGTACTAGCAGGTAGCACCAATAGACACCACAATGTGTTTGCATCTCATATCCCGGCCACAGGGTCAATACACTTTTGGCAGAGAGATGGATAAGAAGGACAAATTGGATAATGTTTGCTGCAGCTAAAGGCATGTATATGCCCATTTCAGAGACTGACTGTCGTACAGCATACATAATACCTGCAGTTACTTCTTATATTGGTAGCAATGGATGCTACTGAACTAAACCACAAAAATGCAAACAAAGCACCTTAATTTCAACGTTAGAGGCAACATCTGTAGCAGAGCTGTTGATATAGCTGCAGCTGTAAAACACTATATGGAAACTTCTGGTATTTCCCTGGGTGAAAATTAAAGCAAAATAACAGTATCAGATGCTTCTGAAGCAATTAAATATTTTTGAAAGGTAATATAAGAAACCGATACAAATTAATAAGAATTAATAGATTACACTGCCATGTGATAACCAGACTCCAAAATACTTTTTCCTGCTCTGGTCCCACAGATAAGCATTAAACCATCTGGGTTGAAACTGTCATTTGCAAAGCTGAGGGAACATAAAGAGCTGAGTTCAGTTTCAAGACAGAAGTTACCTGAACAGGCAACAGAGCAAAAGAATGAAATTCTTAGGGAATGACCGATGTGCAAAACTGCTTCTCTCAAAAGAGAAGTATTATCCAGGACGTCACACTAAATTAAAAAAAAAAAAAAAAAAAAAAAAAAAAAAAAATCAATAATATAAACATTTCCTCATGAAGCATGCTGTTTCACAGAATCTCCTCAGCAGCACAGTGGCAGAGTGAGAATTGAAGGTAGGGAAGGAGAGAAACAATCATTTGCCACACCAGAAATCCTTTCCTGCATTTTCCTTACCCAAAACCTCCTCTGCCTGCAACTAGCCTCATCTGAGGAACCTGTGAGCCTTTCCCAACCACTTGACCCTCTCTCTAGCCTACAGACTTTTTCACTACCATGCTCAGATCTCTGCCTGAAATCTCTCACCCTCCTGTGCACCATCAGTGCCACTATTCCTGGGGACAGCTTTGAGCCACCTCTGTCATGGCATTTGTCCATTAAAAGTTCCACGCTCTGAAATCCCAGTGAAGGGCCAGCAGTACTTATTGTGTCTTATCAGCCAGTGCTGAGTTGCCACAGAGAAATATAGCTGCCCTTCAGCGTTACTCTTTTTGGTGCAAAGTGAATTATTCTTCATCAGCTTCATGGTCTTCAACCTTGAAATACTGAATTTATCTGGTCATTATGCAAATTAAATTAATGTCACACCAGGTGAAAGGTTTCATGTGACAGGCCTTTTAAATGTAATCTTTTTTCCTCAAGCTGTCTGTTATCTTCTACTTAAAAACACAAATTAAGTATTAAATATGGGCTTACTCCAGCTATTAATCATTCAGCTAAATAAAACCACTGGCAAACTGAGAATAGCTGTAAATAAAATAATAGCTTTGCTACCTGCTACCTCTTAGTTCCAAGTAGGCTGGCTATAGAATGAAATAAAAAATAAGAGCTGTCATATAGATATGGAAAATTTTGCTAGTTTTGAGTGAAGGTAAGATACAGAACATGATCACTATACAAGGTCTAATTATTATTACTGAATGTTATTTTGCGTCCTCTGCCACACACAGATTACCTGCTGCTGGGCTCTGGTCTTTCAGGGCTGTTTTATTTAGTAAGTTTTTCACATAAAATCTCAAATAAATTACCATCAGGACTACAGTCAGCTTTCCCATCTGGTGAGTCTCATGATATTCACTGCTGGTCCAGTGTTATGTGGGTAGACAGTACAACTGATCACTGGCACTTGGGCACTTGCATCTGAGGCAGATGTGGCAGAGATGGAAATTGTCCCCTGACCTCCTGCTCCTTTGATGGATGTTTTTGCCAGTTACAGATAGGGGAAATTCTAAGCCTTCAAAATCAAAACACTGGGATGAAATGATTACTGAGGTAATTTAAGCCTGCCAACATTCTTTTTTACCTCTTTTAAGTGTTCAACCCCTGAAGCATAGCAAAGGGAAGAAAAGGGGATAGAGGCATTATGTGATAAGGAAAAATAACCCCAAAGAACTCCAGAATTCTTGACCCATTCCTCAAATTATGTACTGAAAAAATTGAAGACATTCTGCTCAATGTTCAAGATCAGAAATTATTCACAGTCCATACCATGTGAAGACAAATTTCATTAATATGTAGTTACCATAATTTATCTCTCTTTATTTTCAGTGAATGTTTTCTTCTATGCTTTGCCCTTTCTAACTCTATTCTTTCTACCTTTCTGCTTTCTTATTTAAAGCTTCTCCTTTTATTTTTGTGATACTTTCTTTATGCTTCTCATTCTTTACTATTCATAATTGTCCTTCTCAAGCAAGTGAAAAACCTGGGGTTTGTGTTACTGGTCTTTCATCAGGCAGAGTACAAACCCCTTGTGACTTTTTCATGCAGATCATTTATAAGCTCTTTGGTTCTATTTTTTTGGATGTGTGAGATAGACTTCATTGTTATTTATTGACCATAAAGGTAGAAAGTTGCTAATGGAATACAAAACTAGGAAGATCAATCTAGGGTTCACTTTGCAATTGACAGCTCAAAAATAGTTTTCCCCTGGACATTTGCAATTCCCTATCTATGTTTGTTTCCCTTGATGGTGCCTGTCTTTTCACAGATTGGTATGTATATTCTTTTCTGAACCTGAGAGGAAAGACATCTCTGTAACACTACTGCTTGCATCATCCATTTTCCTAACTTTTTTTCTTTTCTCTTTATAATGAAAAAAGATTTGGCAAACCCAAGGACCAACAATCCAACTCTTTTCATGTTTATCATAAATCAAATTAATTGTCTTATCTTTGCTCACCTACTTTCTCATTTACCAATCTTTCATGTATTTAACAGTTTTCCTAGTCCTCTGATTATGCTGTGTTAACCCAGCAAAGAAGAGGGTTTGAGTATCAGAGTGTTCACTTCATTTCATCAGAGAATTGCACTATAATGATCCTCTAATTACAGATCTGTCTTGCTGTGTTAAATCCTTTCTATATGTGCTGGCAACTGTTTACACTGATCTGCATGCCCTAGACTTCACATTTCCAAATATACTACAGTGATAGCTGACAACAGCATTGACAAACATAATGCACAGTGTATGGCTATGGAAGTGGAAGGACTTTGAAGAAGGGCTTGGAATGTGAGAATAAGACAATATTACCACAAATGTTTTAATCAATGTCTATTTCTCTATAAACCAGTTCCTTCTTGTTTTTCTGTTTTTCCACAGTGGTTATGTCTTTGATTATGATTACTACAGAGATGACTTCTACAATCGGTATGTGTGGTTATATTTTCGTACATCCTATGCCATTTTTACTGTTTGTTTATAATGTAATCACATCATTTGGTTAGACAGGTTTGTTTTGATTTTGCATATTATTCATTTCATTATTTCTATTGTGTATCAGAAGACTATTTGAATATATCACAAGCAGAGAAGATTACCACCACCAAATATATGCTCATTAAACAATTCTTTTGGTCTTATTCTTCTCTAAGAGCTTTTGGGGCGTTTTCTGTGCTGAACAGTTTAATGGTAGTTTAATTGCTCAGTGTTTCTTACTCCAGGATTACTTTCACTGGAATGTATAGCAGCTGTAAAATTCTTCAGTATGACACTCATGTCTTTGTCTTTCAACCATGTGTATGAAAAGATATAGAATATCTCCTAACAAATTTGTCTTCAAATAATGTTTAGAAGTCTAGAAGGACCTTGAGGGAAGCAAAACTACAAGTTGAACAGCGTTTGTGTTTCTATAAGAGGAAAAGAAGTGAGCAACTGGAGACTTGTGCCTTGAGTACATATGTACAGCCTAGCTCAGCACAGTGGAAATTTATTCATTCAGTTGTATCAGCATCACCGCAACACGGGGTTAACATGGATGATGACCACAGATAACCAACTCCTGACCCAGCAGTGTTGGTCTCTGCATTACAGCAGGCTCATTTAGCATAGGCCAAGTGAATAAAAGGGGAACAAAGCATTGCTCCACCATCCTCTTCTAATCTGAGATTTATGTGAAGCAATGGACAATAACAGGGAAGTGGTTTATGCCCTGAAGTTATCATATTATATAACATTCTGTTTAGGAAAACTGTAGGAAAAATATACAGTGTATTTGCGTGGGGATTTTTTCCTCAGTTTGTTTCAATTTGAGCCACTAGTATTGTGACAGTGAAATGTGTCCATAAATTGACTCAATAGTATAATTTTCTGATTTAGAAATTTTTCAGGATTAAGACAGAACTCATGGCAGAAAACACAAATATGAGGTTTGTCTCACAAGGCTGGACATTCTGATCTGTTGACAATGAAAACCTTAGGAAGTTCAGGACGTCTGTTAGATCCAAATTAATTGAAGTGAAAGATGAAAAAATCTATATGGTAGGCATGGAAAAGAAAATCCCACGGAGAGTTCAATGTACCATCAACATGACTGTAGGAAATATAAATTAAGAAATATAGTAATGATTTTTTGAATTTCAGAGTTTCTGAACTTTCTGAATTTCTGGGTTTTTTCAAACCATAGGTTTTCTAATATTCATTAATTTTCCAACCTCCCTGAAGGGAGTATACACCTATCTTGCATTGACTAAAGCAGTGGTGGGGTCAGAAAAGGGCGGCAAGCATCACAGAATTACAGAATCATCTAGGTAGGAAAAGACCTTGAAGATCATTCAGTTTAACCATTAACTTAACACTGACAGTTCCCAACTACACCAGATCCCTCAGCGCTATGTCGAGCCAACTCTTAAACACTTCCAGGGATGGGGACTCCACCACCACCCTGGGCAGCCCATTCCAACGCCTAACAGCCCGTTCTGTAAAGAAATGCTTCCTAATATCTAGTCTAAGCCTTCCCTGGTGCAACTTAAGGCCATTACCTCTTGAGACTCACCCCCAGCTCTCTGCAACCTCCTTTCAGGGAGCTGTAGAGGGCGATGAGGTCTCCCCTCAGCCTCCTCTTCTCCAGACTAAACACCCCCAGTTCCCTCAGCCGCTCCCCGTACGACCTGTGCTCCAGACCCTGCACCAGCTCCGTTGCCCTTCTCTGGACACGCTCGAGTCATTCAATGTCCTTTTTGGAGTGAGGGGCCCAAAACTGAACACAGGAATCGAGGGGTGGCCTCACCAGTGCAGAGTACAGGGGTCAGATCCCTTCCCTGTCCCTGCTGGCCACGCTATTGCTGACACAAGCCAGGATGCCATTGGCCTTCTTGGCCCCCTGGGCACACTGCTGGCTCCTGTTCAGCCGGCTGTCAATCACCCCCCCCAGGTCCCTCTCTGGCAGCTCTCCAGCCACTCCTCCCCAAGCCTGTAGCGCTGCTGGGGGTTGTTGTGGCCCAAGGGCAGCCCCCGGCATTTGGCCTGATTGAAACTCCTCCAGTTGGCCTCAGCCCATGGCTCCAGCCTGTCCAGGTCTCTCTGCAGAGCCTCCCTGCCCTCGAGCAGATCAACACTCCCACCCAACTGGGTGTCATCTGCAAACTGACTGAGGGTGCACTCGATCCCCTTGTATGGTTAGTGCTGTAAAATAAAATCTGTATGAAGACAGATTGACAAGATCAGGAATGCATCATTTAGAAAGGTTGGTGAAAGTAAAGTCATTGTTATATACACATTAATGATCATTGGGTTAAAGAACTGCTTTAGAACTGAGCATTTCTGTTTATCATTTCTCATATTACAAGCATAAGGAAAACTGGCAGGGCACTTCAAAAGTGATAAAAGAAAGCATTTTTTAAAAGAAAGCATATTACTGAAATATGTAGAACTTGCTTCAACAAAATACCAAGCCCTAATGATTTCCATAATTTCAGAAATAAAAGTAAGAATAGTAATATTAAACAACAGTCCTTTTATATATTTCAAAAAAGGAAGCATAGTTTTGCATTTCACTACATTATCTAAACATGAACTATTGGAAGCTAGACAAAAATTACCTGCAGAGGAATAATTGCCTAATGATCTTTTTCATGATAGCTTACAGTTCTTCTGAAACATTTTTTTCCAGTAATGTCAAACAGGAGATTGTGACCAACCTGTAGATCATCCAATATGATAAACGATGAGTGACAGCAAACAATATTTCTGTTAGAAGTCCCAAAAATGTTTTAGTGCTTATCTACATACACATTTTTTTAGTCATGCTCACAATGGCTAGAAACTTCTTATTCAGTAAGAATATTCAAGGGCATGGAGTTCAAGTTCAGGATCTCTGTGACACATTTTGTAAGCAGCTAGGGAAAAGGAAGGAGCTGGTTATATTTCTGTAGGATTACAGTGCAGAGAACAGTATGGATTCTGGGATTTAAACATTAGGTGTTTACTTGTCAGAAAACAGGCTAGAAGACTTAAATTTGATTCTGCTTCCTGGTCATCAGGCCGTTAAACACTGGGGCGAGTGAACTGCTGTTTCCTGTATATTTCCAAATGTGTATCTATCTGCCCAGCTGGGTGACAGTAGTCAGAACTGTGAAAATTAACCATGCAGTTATAAATTTCCATAATTACTAGTTGCATCATTTGAAAGAAACTTGGAAATAGTTAGTGAGAATGTTGCTTATCCCTCTGCTTCTGTTTCTGAACTTGAAATCTTCATTTTCTGAGCTTTCTTCTCCTGAGTTGTTGTAGTCAGAGCCTATGCATTTTATATTTTAAATATATCTGAAGCTTTGATTACCTTTTCTACTGCCTTTATTTTCTTGTACATAGGTTAGTTAGCTGCTGTTGATAACTCTGCTTTTAGGATTGGGTATTCTCTCTGGGAACATTAGTTCATTTCAGTTGTAGAGTATCTTACTGATGGTAGTGGTAATTCTCTGACTACCTACTTGCTACAGTGGCTTCGGTTTGAACAAAACATTTTTTAGTAAGCATACTTGGGTATTTTGGTGATTCTACATCAATTCATTCTTAAATAAAGAGAACATATGCTGGGACCTCTTTTCTATGCATTCAGAAGGACATACAGATCCCTTGCTATAAAGACTTGCTATTTTACAAACTCCAGGATATATCTTTATGGTGATGGTTGGCTTTAGAAAAGTTAATTTCTTTTTCTGTCTTTAAGGATAGCAGATAGACAACTAGAATTTAAGCCATGCGTGTAATAAAGGAGCTGAAATGTCACCACAACAAAATGTACTGCTGTTAGTTGTGTGCAATGAAATGATGTGGACCTGTGGAAAACAGGGTATGGATTTTCCATACTGCAAATAAGAGTCCCATAACACATCTCGCATTTAAATTACACAAAAAATCTGAGCTGTGAACTGCTCTGTGACTGAAATCTGAATATGGCACTTAATGTGCATAGATCCTTGAAATCTAATTTGACTGTGATATAAAGTGATTATGGTTTCAGAGGGTAATTTTCTCAAAGATTACATGAAAATTTAGTTGACAAGGCTTCCACAACATGAAATCACAGAAGGTTTTGTGGAGTCCAGATGACTTAATCTTTTCTAGGTTGTTTGATTACCACGGCCGTGTACCCCCACCACCCCGTGCAGTGATTCCACTGAAGCGTCCTCGTGTGGCTGTGACAACAACTCGCAGAGGCAAAGGGGTTTTCTCCATGAAAGGAGCATCACGATCCACCTCCAGTGGGGCTTCTTCCTCAGGATCCAAATGTGAGTTGCTCATATCAGTTGGATATTATCGAAAAAATTGTCCTAGTAATTTCTGCAAGCAGACCTAACTTCCACTATATAGCTCTGTTACAGTCATTTCCTACCCTCAGTCTTCAGCTTGAAAAACTGGTTTGATTACCAAAGCTGCCATGCCTTTCCTGAAATTCAAAGAGCACATTGATGTAACTTTTGAAGGAAATCCCTTCAATAACATTTGACCTACTCCCTTGGCCTCAGAAGAAGCCTGTTTAAAATCTCTTATCATCCTGACTGCTTGTGCACCATGAGGTCTTGTGAACAGCTGGTAACAAAGCAAATTTAATAATCTTGTTATAGACAGAGGCACACTGATTTCTGTTGAGACTTGAGGATTTTATGTGAGCAGGTGCGGGGTGGGGCAGGGGATCATGGGGAGGCTGGGTTGTGTGTGCTTTTTTTGCCAGATTCCTTTGAGGGTAGAAAGAGGCAAAATGTCTTTGTCTGTTCTAAAGGAAGTCCAAAATAGGACTGGCAACTTGGGGTTATTCAACCCTTCTTTAGTGATTTGGCCTTAGAAGAGCTGATGAACAATAGGCATTCCCTTCTTCATGCTCACCAAACTCCCCACCCCATAGTATGTCCTGGGAACTTCATCTTCCTCTTCGTGCATCTTTCAGCACCAACCTGTCTTCCCCTGCCCCTTATGTGGAGTGATACTGTCCTTGGAAGCGCCACTGGAAGAGGAAGAGAAAGATCAGGTAGGGATCAGATATTAGAAAGAATGAAGGGACTTCACTAAGACGCTTGCAGTACCAGACTGGCCAACAAAGCATCGTGCTCTCTTACACAGAACCATGAAATAAGTGAATCCACCAACAGTACATCTTACAGCAAGAGGGGTAATTATGGCATCAATATGAGCCAGTTATAAAGTCTGGTTAAATATCATATCCATACCTCACACTGTAGCATCTAACAAAGAAGAGGGATCTCTGGTCAGCCCACTGAGATCCATTCTTGATCCTATTATTGTATGAGCTAATGGTATCAGAGACCTTGAAAGAAAACATGTAATAAACAGACACGTGGCTGAAAGAATGGATATGTAGTAAACGGAGCTAAAGTCATACACTAAGGAACAAGTTGCTAAAGTCATTCCTTAGAAAGGATGACATCCTAAGAATGAGAAGCTCTGTTGCCTGTACAGTTGAATCACACACAAGTCTCCAGTGAATGAATTGGCTAGATGCCCCTTACCAATAATGAGAGCTTTGATACCTAGCACACAGGAAGACATCTAAATTTAGGTATCATATTATGGAGCTCACTCACACCCTAAGAGGATGTCTGGGAGTAGCAACACTTCCTTTGATCTCTAGAGGATGAATACAAGTCTGGACATTTTCGTACAAATATTGAGCTAATCCATTCATCCATAGGTACATTTTGTCTTTCCTCAATACTTTAAGTAATTAATTATGACCCTGTATATTAATTTAAAATAAAACATACAGCTGAAGATCTTCCCTTTAGTAAACTTAGAATTTAAATTATTTTGCTAGTCTTTTCCAGCCCTTGGTTTTTCACTCAGTGAATCAAGACTTCAGTAAGTATTTACGCTTACAGATTCGTTCATTAGATCTCCTTTGTTCATCCTCTACTGTTGTGTTCTCCATATGAAAAGTTAGTAGTAATAGTGCATTCAATACACTAACTGTTCTAAAGTGTGGCCTAATAACAATGGGCTTTTTGGACTCACTTTTCCTTGAAAAGACAAATTATTTTCAGATTTTTTTTTTTAAATATATATTTCTCATTGTTCAGAAGAATAACTCCAAAACTCTTTTAGAGAGCCAAGTGCTTTAGTATATTCTGAGAGATGTCAAGAAAATCTCTCACCCAGGAACGTGGATTTTCATTGTAGTGAATGGCACAGAGCATATTACATTAACATACCGATATCTGTTCCTCAGAATAATCATCAAATTTTCTTTATTATTTATTCTGCATTTCAGCACTGTGTCAGGACTTAAGTAAAGCATAATATAGATTGTAGGATTCAACTTTAGTCCAAGCACCCATAGCCACTTGCTTTAAGACCTCCAAAACACTGTCTGCATAACATGGCAAATGTTGCCAAACCTGTAAATTATTTAATGGAAGTGCAATCAGGAGTGTAGAGATCCTAACAGACAATGTTTGTTATGCCCCAGTGAAAGTGTCCTTCAATGTATTCAGGTGTGATGTGAATTCTACAAATGGCAGTCTTAGAGCTCCAGATGACAAGATCATCTTCGGATCCAGCTCTAACACTGAAGGGAGAGCTGCAAGATGCATCCCTAAAAACATGGGCCGACATTTTGACTCCTGTTGGACTTCCACCCTCAGTTCTTTACAATTGCAATAGGAACATAACTGCAGAGACTATTTATCATGCTAGAATAAATTGCAGAAAATATTCTTTCTGCATGCAGCACACCTTTAAAAATCAGACACAGTATACAGACTTTCATGCTTGATTTCCCCATAGAATTACTTCCCTTTTTGTCAAGTCCAATGAACCCACCATAAAGGTAGAAACATGATTTTGTTGACTTGGACAGGAATGTAATCAGCTTTTTGCAAGACGTTTATCAGAGAAATAAGTGAGCCATTCCCTTAGGGGCTTCAAGTTGGAAAGTAGAGAATGTGTGTTTTGTGGCTTCTTTTGCCATTTTCTTGGAAAAGTGGTTATACTGAATTGTGGGATGAAAAAATTTAATATTTTGTTGCCCCCTTATTCTACACTGCTAATCTGAACCCATTGAACTAATGTACTGATGATTGTAATCATATTGTTAGTTAAATAAAGGATGTCTTCAATAAGCAGAAACATAGTTTGTGAGAAGGAAGCTATTTTGAGTTTTACTGGAATTCAGCACCGTAAACCAGCTTAATCGCAGGTTCAGAATTAACTATGTCAAAATGGTATTGCCTATGCTTGAAAGATTTCACCCCCCAATAGCAAAACTCTCATGAGATCACGTTCCCTAATAGACTTTTCAGATTTAAGTAGAAATCTTATAGGCTTAACTGTTCTTACAGCTGTTCTCCACACTCAGACTGGATCCTGAAAATGAACCCATACATCTAGTATTAAAGATCAGAATCAGTGAAATAACCAGGATTAGAGGGACTCACTTCTGAAAACTAGCAGTTCAAAGACAGAAATTTGTTGTGCCACACAGCAAAGATGTTATAAAAACATACTACCAAAAATGTCTTGCTTATTGTTGAGTACATCTGCAAAAATAATGTCTGCCAGCAGTAAATTCTTATTCTACCAAGAAGTGGTAAAGTGTATTCTAAGTTTGCTTCCAAAACAAAACAAAACAAGTGAGAAGGATTTAATTTCTTTCTTGAATCTATAATTTTTCAAGGATCACTTGGCAATATTTTGTCTTCTTTTTAACTCCAAAGACTAGGAAAAAATAAATCAACCTTTCCACATTATCAGAAGTAACTCACATAATGAAATATGTTGGTGTGGAAACTGCACATAGTAGTTCTTCATGTTAATGGTATGAAGCAGCAGCTGCAAATTTCTATTCAGAACTGGGAAAAACTCTTTTTTTGACATTATGGAAACTGAAGCTCTTGGAGTATGCACTTTCATTTTACACATATGAAAACAAGAGGAAAACACTAATCAAAATTTTAATACCCTATGTGCTTGACATTAAGGAGTAGACAAGATGTTACAATATGTACTGAATTATTGTCTCAAGCAAACAAGCAAAATTCTTCCGTCACACTACAGGCTTTCCATTCTTATGGTCATCTTCATGGCCCTTCTCCCCACGTACCTACTAGAACTCAGTGATTCAACCTGTAGACATTATTCCAGATGAGTTCTCATCAGATCCTTGTACAGTGGCATTGTACTTCCCTATCTTTAGTAATACATTATTTGACACATCCTAGCACTGTATTTTTTTTCTCATGGCTGCATTATAGTGATAGCCTATAGTCAACCTGAGATTACGACTACACCCAAGGACCATTCTGTCACTGTCTTTTTTCGCTCATGATCTTCAACTTTAAGAGTAGAAATTCTGCTGCTAGTCAATCAAGTGTAGGAATTTTTTTCAGTGCAATTACATCTTTTTTCTCATGTAGCTTTCCTTAAAATCACCTGAATCCTCCTTCCATTCTAGTTCACTCTGAACAGATGATACCTCCCAATTTAATCTCATCAGCAAATTTCAAATTTATTTACTTTTATCCATCAAATTTGTTGAAGATATTTAGCCATTTTGATGCCAGTTCTTGAGGAATTTCATTAGTAATTTCTTTCCCTTTCAATACATACATTTCTGTTACCTGCTGGCCTTTGCTTATTTGCTAATAGGAGAAAAAAAAAAAAAAAAAAAAAAAAAAAAAACACAAAAAAACCCCAGTAAGTTACTTTATTTTCCTATTCCATTACTCAAAAGCAGATGAATAGATATTTTGGACACATGCAGCTCTGGCTTCATGTTTATGAACTGCTTTATTTAAAAAAAAAAAAATCCATGAAGCTTTAAAGGAGAATTTATATATTCAAAGCAGGGTACCTGAAGTACAGTATTTACAGTTTTTACATTTTGTCTTTGTCATAACACTGTGCTTATAAATCCTGAAGCTCTTCCCAAGCTCTATAGCACAGAATCACAAAATCACAGAATGGTTGCAGTTGGAAGGGACCTCTGGAGATCATCTGGTCCAAATGCCCTGCTCAAGCAGGGCCACCTACAGCAAGTTTCCCAGGATTGTGTCCATACAGCTTTTCAATATATCCAAGGATGGAGACTTCACAGCCTCTCTGGGCCACCTGTGCAAGTGTTTGACCACCCTCACAGTAAAAAGACTACTAAGAAGAGTCTGCCAATGTCTTCTTCTTTCTCTTTTGTACTGGTGAGCCCAGAACTGGACACGGTACTCCAGATATGGCCTCACAAGTGCTACATAGAGTAATGCACTGGTTTTGGCTGGGGTAGAGTTAATTTTCTTCACAGTAGCTAGTATGGGGCTATGTTTTGGATTTGTGCTGGAAGCAGTGTTGGTAGTACAGGGATGCTTTTGTTATTGCCAAGCAGTGCTTGCACAGAAACAAGGCCTTTTCTGCTCCTCATACAGCCCTGCCAGTGAGCAGACTGGGGGTGCACAAGAAGCTGGGAGGGGACACAGCTGGGACAGCTGACCCCAACAGACCAAAGGGATGTTCCACACCATGTAACATCATGCTCAGCAATGAACTAGGGGGAAGGTTGACTGGGGGGCCACTGCTCAGGAATTTGCTGGCCATCAGTTGGTTTGTGGTGAGCAATTGTTTTCATTTGCATCACTTGTCTTTCTTGGTTTTATTTATCTGTCTTTGTTATTTTCATTGTTATTATTATTTCTCAATTATTAATGGTTTTTATCTCAACCTACAAGTTTTTTCACTTCTACCCTTACAATTCTCTTTCCCCATCCTGCTGGTGTGGTGAGGAGTGAGTGAACGCTTAGTTGCCAGCTGGGGTTAAACCAAAACAAGGGAAAGGAACATCTTCCTCGACCTGGTGGCAACACTCTTCCTAATGCAGTTCAGGATGTTGATGGCCTTCTTTGTCACAGCGTGTATTGCTGGCTCATAGTCAGCTTGTTGTCCATCAGGGCCCTTTATAATTTTTCTTCAGTAGTTGTTGCTTACCACAGAAATACCTAGTACAATATAACTGACAGTGGAATTTCTACAGGAGGATGATTTTGAAGATTTTTACCATTCTCTGCAAATTAAGACAATAAGCAACTCAAATAATTACACCATCACAACGTTGGGAACTGTATAAATTCAGAACTTGTGAAGAGTTGTTGCATTTTCCCTTTTCTCGGTCCTTTTTAGTGTTATCTTGAAGTGGTTAACTGAAGGACGGAATCACCTCATTAAATGTGAAGTTGTAGATTCAGTGGCCAAAGCTTGAGGAAATGGTTTTGGGATAAGGAAATTCTGCAAAGTAGCAATAAATCTCCTCAGTGATTTATAGCATCTGTGTTTGTTATTGAATCCTCACTGTTGTGTCTGTGTTTCCTCTGGTGTGGTCTTCCCAAACTGTTTTTTCCCTGAGACACCACAGGGAAGCCCCAGTGAAGCAGAAGGTTTGACAGGGTTGAACAGTAACCCTACATGTGCTCCTGTTTCCTTATCAAACTCAGAAGAGCAAATGTTTTCTACTTTACTTTTTAGACTGGAAACAAATACCATTAGGTATCTGTGGCATCACTTCTGACTTTTGATCTTGTAGCCTTGGCAAGCCTGCTGTTTGTCCGTCAAGGGAGCACCTCTAACACAACAACTTGGACACATGGGGTGTGTTGCCAGCTGGCTTCATAGTGGGTTGCTGAAAACACTTAACATTCCCCATTGGACAGTTTCACACCATTTCACTTGGAACCTGTGCCACCTAGTTACTACTCTGCATGGACCGGCCACTGCCCCTGGGGAAGCAGTATCCTTCTACATAGACAGTTGTCAGGATCTTGCTCTATATACATACAGAATTATCCCCTCAAATACTGTATAGTATATAAGGGTCTAGCACAAAGGTTACTTTTAAGCTCTGTTCTCTAAATTCTACCATTCATTCAATATAAGATCAGAGGTTTCAGACTATGATAGTGCAAGATATGCAATTTCTCAGTATGAGCACATGATTAAACAAGTTAATTACTGCATATAGCAACCTACTGCCTTTATCTGACTTGTTACAATTATACTTCACGTGACCCAAACTCTAAGGTAAAAAGCTCTGGTATCAACCTCAGTGAATATGCTTTATGTTTGAAATAAGGCTGATTTTGAAGCAAACACATACTTATTTACTGCCACTGAAGCAAGTAGTAGCTTGCCTGCACACTTCATCAGCAGATTTTGACTGTCTGATAAAAAATATCCATGAGGCACCATGATGAGACACATGCCCAAGAGTCAGTGAATGAGACTGATGTGGCAAGATGAGGTCAGGAGACCCTTTGGACAGAAAGGGAACATTTCCTTCTCCATGGCAGAACATCTTTTTTGCTGGGTTCACTAAGGGCCTTCCCATTGCTCTGGATACACACACCAAAGTCAATGCACATCCTCCTCCAGTAATGGTAAGAATGAATGAGTAATACTGCTCAGTGTTCTTCCATTGCAAGTCCCTCACAGTTTAAGGTGATGGTCCATTTCTTCCTACAAGAGTTGTAAGAGTGATACCTGTGTTACCTACTCTTGAACTTTACAAGTGGCTTTATTCTAACATGACGTTCCCATTCTCTCCTCTTGGTCTTTTCAACATGATATCCTAGCACTGATAGGGCAAGTGGATTTGTCTGGATTATTTTCTGAGCATGAAAACATGTCCTGTTAATTCCATAATAATGAGGTCATTCGTGAGTGCATCCAAAGCAGTTACTCCTTCTTATGATGGACAATGGGAGTACAATAATGAACATAAATGCAAAGTAATGCAATGCAACAGAGATTTGGAAACTTTAGCTCTTAATTTATATTTGTTGCTTCCATGTCCCTGGATGTGATCATAAAGAGAAATATTTTTGTTTGTTATCCATAGCTGGAAAAACTATAAGAAATTACCAGGCCTGAAAGCTTTTGAAGTAATACTACTTAACACCTATTGCAATGAAGTTGTTGACTGGAACATAATATTCCATTCCTGGATGCCCTAGCATTTATGTTACCATTCACTCTTGTTGAAAAATACCTACTGCTACTGTGAGGGATCTTTTTATTATTGTTGCAATTATTACAAAATAGTCCAGCAAAATAGCATTGCAAGACTGTGAACTGTCTGTCATATTTGAATCATTTTTCCACTATAGGCTGTTTTGCAGTAAAACTTACTTGGATTTACTAAGAATGCCCTTGAGATATTTTGCCTGAAATGCGTATTACAGACCAATACACCTCATATAACCTCTTGCCATTAAGGCTTAGAATCCCGTGATTTCTTAGGATTCAGAATTTTTAACTAATAATGTTCATTTTAAATGTTAAATCTCTACTGACAGAAATGAGAGAGTCAACTTTGTACAACAGAGGGAAGTAAAAAAGAATAAGTTTTGTTCATTGGGGGGCTGCAAAAATAGTTTATTTCATGTTTTGCATCTTTACTCTCTTTCCACAGTGAAATCAGATGAGTTGCAAACAATCAAGAAGGAATTAACCCAAATCAAAACAAAAATTGACTCCTTGCTAGGGAGACTGGAAAAGATTGAAAAGCAGCAAAAAGCTGAAGCAGGTAGGTGAAAGCAATCTGTAGTCAAATTAATAAAATTAGAACATAGATATCAGTCAAATAGGCAGACCAGAGAGAATGGAAGCCTTCCAGAAATTTTGCTACATAATGGAGACCTGAAGCCAAGTAAATTAACTCTCAGGTAGAATTATATGGAGGATAAATTAATATTCTTCACAGAGCATGCAACATCATTTCAATAATTGTTTTCTATGCTGTAGGAGGAGAAAAAAAAAAAAGTAAAATATTCTTACTAGATATTCTGAAAACAAAGCATCACTACAAAACGGACTGTACAGAATTAAGTTAGAGGCTGCAGACCTTAGGGATGCTTGTGCTACGTACATTAAGAATTATTAGATGATCTATATCGGGAATTATTTATTACCTGGGCAATAGGCAATAGTCAGAAGTTGCAGCAAAGGAAATTCTTGTTTGATAAAAAGAAAAGAGATTTAACTAAAGAGTTGCCCAGAGAGACTGTAGTAGCTCCATCCTTGGAGGTGTTCAAAACTCATTAGGCCAAGGCCCCATGGACCTGGACCAAACTTTGAAGAGTGATTGGATTTGGAGAGTCCAGAGATCCCTTCCAGCCTAAGCTATTGTATGAAACTGTGGCATCTCTGTAAAACCAGCCACACCTCTAGTTCAGCTTTTCTCTGGTTTGAAATATTTTGTTTAGAGGCAAACACTGGGAATAACAAAATCCAACCTTACTTTTTAATTTAATCAAGATCTTTATTTCTATCATTGCAGTGATCATTTTGTTAGCTTAATTATCTCACCTGGCAGCACCTTAAAGCCGTGCTGAGCAATTATAAAGGGTATATAAGGTTGTCTTTTCACCATGATATATAGAGAAAATAAGGTCAGTTCTTACCATGGCCTGTGGTATTTCCTTGGCTATTTCCTTATAAATCACATGATATATCTCTGTACAAGACCTGCATACTAGCGAGCTGATTTCGATGAGAGCCAATGGGGAAATGGAAGCCTTATCTCATGAAAAATCTCAGTGATGCTTTTTTTCCCCACTTCTGTTCTCTGATGAAAACTTTTTATGTATTTTGTGTGAAACATGTGAAAGAAATTCTGGTTCAGAATCTGCAGCTGCCTGGACGTCTGGGCATTTGGATTTGTTCCCCTTGCCTAATTCAAATCAGTTATGTGAAGCTAAAAAGACCCAACAGAACACATAAAGAGAGTTCCATCAAGGCTCTCTAAAATCTTGGTGGGAATTAGCAGCTGAGGTTCATGAACCTGACACAAGAGAAATAGGTATTTAGATCTGGATCCCTCCTGTTCCCAAGTACCCATCCTATTTCCTGATTTACTGTGGAGGTATCTCTCTGAATCCAGAAGTTTCCTGCTGGCATTCAAAAATAGCTGTAATGAATGTCTTCCTAGAGCAGAACTGTACAGAATAATACTTTATGGATAACAAGTTAAAGAAAAAAAAAACCAAAACAAAACAACAAAAAAAACCCATACAACCAAAACCAGGTCCTTAAAAAACCCTGCCTTTTATTTACAATCACATTCTAAATTGACAGAAGAGGACCAATCACTCAGCTGTTATATTTTTCCACACAAAATAAGTTTAGCGGGTGGGGTTTTTTTCAAGGCTAAGGTAAACCATTAGTACAGAGCATGATTATCTCTTTCAGCAGAACCATACACAATATGTATTCATTATTTTCTATTTTATACTTTATGCAAGTTAGATAAAAGTTGGTATAATCAGTGAAGATGTAATTGCAAGGCACTCCATTGAATCACTTGTGTACTGAAATGCTCTGAGATGGCACAGCCCTACTTTGGGGAGCTTTTATATAAAATCCATTACTATGCAAAACAACTTGCATGTCATTGTACTTTGATATCCAATTTTCACTTTTGCTAAAGGACTGTAGTAAACTCATTTAAATAGAAATCAACTCAAAGAGGAAAACGTTGATTTGTATTGAATCATACTGTTATGCCTTTTGAAGACAAACAATGAATAATATCCTCAGAGATTAAAATTTGGTTTCAAATTGTTCCTGTTTTAAAACATCAGGTGCAGAACCCATCCTCCATATTCCTTGCCTTTCATCAGAGGGTGTGAGGATAAAAAACACTCAGAGATACCAGTAAACTTGGATCCCCATTTAAGTCTCTTGAACTGATGACATGTTATGCATCCTAGGTGATTAGTCTGCAGATGACGGCTTCCTCAGCTAAAAGATCTGTGTAAGATAAAGCTACATCAGTAGCTGAACTCTCTCATCTATGATGTCAGATGTGAGATGATTTTGTTCCTTCTCTATGGTTCGGCAGTATTATTTCTTACTCCCTCTGCCAGAAGTTGTGGCCTCACTAAGACTGGGATCAGAGAGGGGAACTATGTCTCATTTACACAAAACAAAAATCAAGCTATCATCTTGCCCTTTTGATTTTTTAAGTTTGAATCCCTCTCATGAAAAATATGTCTCAGCAAGTATGCTGATGACACCAAGCTCTGTGGTGCAGTCGACACTCTGGAGGGAAGGGTTGGGCCATCCAGAGGAACCCTGACAAGTTTGAGAAGTGAGCCCATGCAAACCTCATGAAATTCAACAGGCCAAGGCCTGTTCAACAGGCCAAGGTTCAACAGGCCAATTCAACATGTCCTGCACATGGGTCAGGGCAATCCCAAGCACAAATACGGGCTGGGTGAGTAGTGGATTGAGAGTAGCCCTGAGGAGAAGGACTTGGGGGTGTTGGTGGATGAAAATCTGAATATGAGCTGGCAGTGTGGTCTCACAGCACAGAAAGCCAATCATAACCTGGGCTGCATCAAAAGAAGCATGGCCAGCAAGTTGAGAAAGGTGATTCTCCCCCTCTCCTCCACTTTTGTGACACCTCACTTGGAGTACTGCATTCAGCTCTGGGGACCCCAACATAAGTAAAACATGGACCTGTTGGAGCGAGTCCAGAGGGCTCGAAGATGATCAGAGGACTGGAGCACCTCCGTTATGAGGACAGGCTGAGAAAGTTGGGGTTGTTCAGCCTGGAGAAGAGAAGGCTCTGAGGAGACTTTCTAGAGCCCTTCCAGTACTTAAAGGGGGCCTAAAAGAAAGTCTGAGAGGGACTTTTTACAATGATATGTAATAATAAGACAAAGGATAATGGCTTTAAACTGAAAGAGGGTAGGTTTAGATTAGATGTAAGGAAGAAATTCTTTACTGTGAGGGTGGTGAGACACTGGAAAGGTTTTCCAGAGAAGCTGTGGCTGCCCCCTCCCTGGCAGTGTTCCAGGCCAGGCTGGACAGGGCTGTGAGCAACCTGGGCTAGTGGAAGGTGTCCCTGACCATGGCAGGGGGGTGGGAACTAAGTGATCTTTAAGATCCTTTCCAACACAAACCTTTCTATGATTCTGTGATCAAAACTCCTTATGTGCATAGCAATAAGACTCTGATCCCTTCTACCACTCCTCTGGACAGTCTGTCTCTGTCATTCCTCCCTTAATTCACTGGATTTCTGCTGGCTGGATGAAATTCCTCAACATATCCAGGAATCTCCCAATATGTAATCACAATGCAGATATCTGTACTAAGCCAACCAGAACAGATCCTCTGGCCCTCCCTGGAAATGGTCTTCATTTTCACCACTTGCAGAAATTATAGGAAGCCTATATTTCGGTAATTGGAGAGGGGCAATTCTCCAATTATCTCAGCACGTTATACCAACAGGGGCAAACTGTAACTTTACTGCAAAAATTTATGTTCAGTTGTCTAGAAGGACTTGTTGTTTATCTGTATGGTTATTGAGATATATTCACAGCAAATTTATGCAAAACCTTGTTCACTTGTTGACAATTAACAGCCTTCCACTTCTTAGAACATAGTGATTTACGTACTTCTCATTGGCTGCAGATAAATATATCGTGACTATGCCAGTAGGATTCCCAAGGCAAAGCAAAGTCCAGAAAATCAAAAAAGTTGGATCTGCTGGTAAATCAAACCTTCATCCACTGCATGGGATAGACGAGCATGTTGGTACTATGGTTAATTTATGCATTAATTTTTTAAAACTAGGATTTTGATCATATTTGCCTGCTAGATATTAACACACTGATTTTGCAAATCTGGCACAACTGGAGAGGGGAAGCTTAGTTTTCTTCCTCAGAGCACTTTTCTTTGCCACCAATAAGGAAGGTTACTGAATCTCTATAGAGTATGTTTTCCTTACAGAAGCTCAAAAGAAACAAATGGAAGATAATGCCGATTTGATTCAAGAGGAATGCGTATCAGAGAATGCAGATAACTCTACAGAAGAGCCAATTGAAGGAGGGCCAGATGCAGATGGGGATGGAGAAGATATGACTGATGGGATAGAGGAGGATTTTGATGAAGATGGCAGCAATGAGCTGGTAAGGAATAATCATGCTGTATCTGTCTATGCAGTTGCTACAAGTAAGCACAAAGAAACAATCTGGGTTAACAAAACAAGCTCACAGCAGCATTGTGATGGTCTGTAACTAGTGCCTAGTCCTACATTCTTCATAAACTGTAGTATAAGTTAAGCATAAGCCCTCTGAGGATAAACAAGAAAATATATTTTATTACACTTGGTGGTTATTAAAGTAAATTAAATGTACTTTAAATCGGTTTCTATTTATTATATTACTGAAATGTAGATGGGAAAGGAAAATATGGTGTGCTTTTTTTTTTTTTTTTAACTGGAGTATTTCAAAATTAAATAAGATTCTAGAATGGAGAACTTTCTCATTATGTAGAACTTTCTCATTAGTAAATATGCGCTCGCCCATAATCTTCAATCCCTGTCTTCTATGTGTATCTTCTGCAGGCTGTGTTGGCAGCTACAGACTTTTTTGGTGGAAGGATTTTTCCTTAAGAAATGTTTGGTTAAGTGACATTCGGGTTTTCAGTCTGAGCCTGCACCTTTCATGAAATGTCCATCATGTTCTTAAACTTCTAAGTTCTTCTCATGAATCAACAACAATTATTCTGAAAGTCAGATTTATACTTTTTTTATTAATTCCTAATAAGAATGGGTCAGTCACATTGTTTTAGACTCTAATACTCTCCCTCTCTTCCAGGCTTTCATATTCTGCTTTGAACAGAAATCACTTCTGTTGCTCAGTGTCACTGTCCCTGCTTGTTTTAACACACATGTAATCATCTGTACACTGTCAAAATCATTCAGTATAGCCAGCAGAGATCAGTCAGCAATGGGCACAGCTGAACCAACACCCAGTCTGGGGTAACAGGGCATGTGAATAACCAATATTTTGTACTGCTTACTGCAAACACAATTTAAACCTACTGCTAATCTAAGGGTTTGTGTCTCTTTAGCCAGCACAAGGTCCTCTTGAATTTATAAATCCTGAACAACATTATGCCCAGGAGAAGCTACTACAACCTGAATCCCTTCATCTTTTAACATGTGATATAGATGTCACTTCTTCCCAAAGGAACATGTTCTCCTGTACATATATTAGGGATGTCTGTAAATTGCCACTCTGAATTTGTAGGAAGTTGAAATCTTGTAATGAATAAATCGTTGTAAATATCCCATGATGGGTAGTACCTGGTCAGCTGAAGTGATATTAGCAATAGGGCTGATCAGAGTTTAACAAGACTGGTGGGTTTTGCACTAATTACGTGTCAGACTCCCTACTACAGACAACTAAGTGGGGAAGTTAACATACAGAATATTAGCCTCTGATTGTGCAGTGTTGTCATTTCACCCTTAGATATGACATATTTAGCATATATCTGCACTATATAATGAAGCATGATGTGGAATAAATTTTTAATCTAGCAAAGGCCTAAGCAGGAATATTTCTAAAAAGCTAGCAGCACGGGAAGACTCCATTAGCAGTGAAAGTCTGGAATTTGCACACTACTGCTTCCATGGTAAAAGACCTTTCCAAGATTTATGTTACAGAACTAGTTGAAGTGCGGTGTGTTGCAGACACAGCTCCAAAGAGAGCTCAGAGGTCTGAGACACACATCTAAGGCATGGGGATGTACCAGCTCCAGTTTCTCTGCAGGCCATTACTGAGCCCCTTGAGTGCCAGGAGGACGTGCCTCACTGCACATGGAGAGTGGTGTCCTCTGCCTTGCACCCTAGCACTCATGAATTATATCCCCACAACCCCAACATGGTGGTAGCAAGGAAAGGCCAAGGAAGAGCGCTTAAGTGCATTGTCTCAGCCAGGGACAGTGAAGCCAGTCAGCCTCCTGCCTTCCACCTTCCCAAACACTGGGATCCTCTATTTCAGAAGCTGCCAGCATTGTAGACTTTAAAGCTCAAGAACCAAGATTGTCACTGATGTAAAATCCTTATGCTTTTCATCCTTCCTTGCCATTTTCCTCAAGCTTTGGAAGCGGCCACTTCACTTTAGTTTTCCTCCCTGCTACAATGAGGTAATAACACTTTCTTTTGCAAAGCCTAGGGAGATCAGTGAATGAAAAACTGCAACGGATGGGATAAAGGATTGTTCTGCAAAGGATTACTTAAAAAAAATCTCAGGCGGTGGGTGTTTCTGACAGAAAGGCAATTATAAATTGAACTGTGCATCTTTCCTCTACAGTTTTTACCCAAACACAGCAGCATTGGTCAGTACTGTTACGATACGAAGCTGGTAGTTTATGATGTACATTGTAATTTGGTTTTCACTTATAATGACACATATTTATTTAGATATAATGACCAATTCCTATAAATTTTATTTTCCACTCCAATCACTGATAGCTGTGTAACTGGAAAGTCAATAAGAATACTATTAAACATATTCTGAATACCCTACTAGGTGTACTTGGCATTTCAGTCTGCTTCTACCCATTCTGTGCCCTGCTATCTGGCATTATCCTTGTTTTGTGAAAAGTATATTGGTAAGATTTTTATAAAACAAGAAGTCCTAACAGATGTTCTCCTGTTTTATGAAGATGAAGTTATTTAGGAAAAAGAGCTGACTACACCAAATATGTCATTTTGGAATGGAGTCAGTTACGATTCATTTGAGGGGGAAAAAAAAAAAATATGTTTTTTAAGCATGAAGAGAGTTAAATGTGAAAGAATTTAGGACAAACTTTCCATGTGTAAAAACATAACCTTAGATTCAGAATAAGAAATACCTTTCCAAAGGGTATTTTTTAATGAAATCTACAATCTTTTCCAAATAAAAAACTAAAGGGATTTAGGATGATGATGCAAAAAAAAAAAATAGTTTCTTTCATCACTAAGAGCAGCAAAGCAAATAGAACATTTGAGATGGGCATAGTTAATGTTCTGAAGTCAGTTCAACACCAAAAATTGGTTGTGAGTCCACTAGTCTGAAAAATATTAGAGGGAGAGAGGAACATGACTTAAATTTAGATCTTAACCTTTTATACAGTGCTTTGTCATTAACTGTAAATCTCCTGCCAAGCCATTTGCCATAAATCTGCTGCAGGACTCTCTTTGCTGAACACAATACTTTTTCTCTTTTTTGTTTCCCCTGTGACCAGCCCTGACTGTCAACAAAGGGAAGTGTTCAAGAAAGGCAGATCGGCTGTCAGAGTCCAGATGCTGACAGAATGGAGCCTCTGAGTCTGTGTATGTGGGTCTGCATCTTTGGACAAGAGGACTCAAAAATATATTTATTTCTCCATTTCTAATTCTAACTTGCAAAGGAAGGGACTATGCAGGATGCATTCTGTGTGTTTAGGTGGTAGGATCCATTCTTTAAATCCACACACTATTTGAAGGAACAGGCTACGGCAGATTAACAGAGTGACGGCAGCTGTCCTCATGCCTGCTTTCAGCCTAGACCAACTGTAAAGACATGTGAAGTAGTTTAGCCTGCAGTCTGAGTTAAGTCAGGCATGGATTTAAGGAGGCTTTAGCCTCCTCATTTATTTGCCTGGCTGCATACACAAAAACACATCACATTCAACAGCTGCACACCTTCTTCATTCCTGCATTGTCATTTTCTATAGACTATAGACATGCCCACAAACCGTCATTATGGCTCAGCTGAAGTGTGAAAAACTTTTATGCCACAGTAACTTGATTGCCCATCTGAACTCTAATTTAATACATGCTGCATATTTGATTGTTAAGCATCACCTCTTGGGAAAGTTTCTTTTGTACCAAGTGTTTGCTCGCAAATGTCTCAGTGTCTCCAGTGCTTTAGACACTCTGTCTTGAGGATCTTTTTAGAATAATCCCCAAAGACTTTTGCTGCACTGACATACTGAAGAGTTCTTTAAATGGTGATTTAAGATATATGATCCAGCTATGTATGAACACATCAAATAATTGACTTCAACTTGCTCAGTGAAGTGTGTCATATGCTTCTTACCCACCTGCACTGACACATTGGCCTTCCGCTTCCCCTTGTACAAGGGCATGCGATAATATATTGTAGCTATATATATATATGACAATCACTAACTTGGAATGTATATCTCCTGAACTTACTCTACAACTCATGTCACTTAACTGACCATCACAGGTAGCTGGAGTGGATGAAAACTTCAGGTCTGTTTCTTTTCCTCCTTTTAGATAAAATACAAGTAATTGGTTATCCCAGATTTTACTGGACCCATGAGTCAGGTTTTCTATCCACTCCTCGCATTGAACAGTTGCTAGCTGCAGTGAATTAAAAATCTTCGTGTTTCTTCCGAGTGTGAACATATCCACTCTTAATGCTTTTAATCGAAACTGTCCCTCAAAATAGCTGTGAAGAAAGAAACACACCTATCCCATCTTGCCTTACAGAAAGCAAGCTCCTATGAAGATCTTCATGTTTACTAAATTCACCTCACACACAAGTCACAAACAGGCCCAAAATCATCAGAACTCAAATCATCAGTGATATCAAGCAGTTTTCAGGTGCCTGCCATGGCTTTAAATTGTACAGAGTGGGAAGGAAAGCCAATAACCTCCTCTTATTCATGCGGCTGCACAGCAGAGAGCAGAAAAGTCACCTTTGCAGCACAATCCAACACACGTTTTGATAATTGAGAAGCAGCTTTGCCTCAGAACCTCTAAAACAAGCCCCTTCTTACTAGAAGTAGCATTAGCAGTGTGTGGCATGGCTGAGAGCGTGCAAGGAAAGCATTTCTGAATTTGCGTGTGCGGTGGTTTCCTTACTGTCTTGATTTAGCAGCTGTGCATCCCAGTGCAGGCCCAGAGCATTCCATTTAACTTCTCTAAACTTGTTTCAAATGGTACTAATAGATCATCGACGAAGCACTGGCTCAAAATGAACTATAACTTATCATTGCAATCCCCTTGTAAATAACAAAGGTGACATCCGATTAATTAGCTGAAAGCCTGAAGTATTGTAGACTTGGGAAAAAAAATCACATTCAGCTAATGCTTAATAAAATGCCAACAAACTAATTAATTGGAATA